GTTTTAGCCTTCTCAGTCATCTTCTGCCGTCCATGATTCTCTGCTGTGTTGTAGAGGAGCAGACCGTCAGCCTGAAGCGTCTTCAGTCCTGTTGCTAGTTAATGTTACGCTGTCTCTGCTGGCTTAGACCTGACACAGCAAAGCAGCTCGGCGCCTCTCCAAAGCGCTGCTGCTGCATTGAGCTCATTTCTGCATGAAAACTGGTTTTCAATCTAAAATTAAAGCACTGCCAATTTGAACTTTAGAAAGTCAGGCAGTAGAGGTGTTAGATGCAACACCTCTTTAAATGTCTTCAAAGAGGCCAAAACAACTTGAAGCCTCGTGTCGGTAGAGCTGCTAAACAACTTAAGCACAGAGGAAAAACTAAAAATGTAAGAGAGCAAACCTAATTGTCCCTCTGCAGAAGATCTGCTCTCTCACACCCGCCCTCTGTCTCACTCTTGGGACAAGGAGGAATTTCCTGTGAGAAGGAGGATGAATTTTCCATACACTTAGTGGGAGATAGACAGACAGAGAGAGGAAAAAAACACCCAACAACAACAAATACATGGGTCCCTGGCCTGGTTTGACCTATTCTTGCCATCAGTGATAATGTGGAGAAATTTGAAGAGCCCAGCTGATAGAGACGGAGGTTGATGTTCACAAGATGTCTGTAGTCTTTGTTTCTCTGCAGGCCTCCCCAGATGATTAAAATAAAGATTCCCACAACAGACATGGGTTCATTCCAGTGGTTCAGCCCCAAACAGAGAACCCAAACAAAAACATGCTGAGGATGAAGCTGAACTGTGTAAAAAATATAAAAATAAAAATGATTTTTTTTGTTTGTTTTACGCATTTGTTCAAACTGTCATGACTGCTTGGTATAAAATAGATAATTTCTGAAAAAAAGAATCAAGCTCCTCTGCCTTCTCCCAGTCCTAACTAGAAATGACCAATCAGAGCCAAGATGCGGGTCTGTCAATCACTCGTCTGTGTGGCGCTGCTCCAGCTTGGACGGCCTGAGGCTGAATGCTGAGGCTAGTTAGCATAGCCACCGATGGTGACAGATAAACAGTTTATCAACAGTAAGTTGTTTTTCTGCCATTAGCATATTCAGCAGCGAGGTCATGAGGATGACTGACAGCACCAAGTATGTAAAAAAATGATTTTATTGAAGTTACATACTGCAGCTTTAAATGCTTTGGTACCTTAAATATTCCAGCTTTACTGAAACAAACAGTCCCTTGCAAATACAATACTGCACATTCTGAAATTGTGATGACAAATACACCATCAAATCATTGAACAGCTGCTGCATAGTGTCACTATCTACACTAAGGTTTTAGAGTTGAAGATACCTTAAATCTACAAGGAGTCGAGTTCCTGCAGGGTGGGATGAAGGGAGGATTTATGAGTGACCAAAATACACAACACTGAAATAAAGAGTAGGAGGACTAAAGGTCAAAGTGAATATCTGACGTCTACAAAACTGGAGCTTGTGTTACTTTAGTGCTAAAAGTCTGTTTTACAGCTAAACTACAGGCTGAGTTGAAGTGAGCATGATGCAACAATCTGTTCTGAAGTAAATTAATTTTATCATTTTAAAGCAGCTTACAAAGCCTGCAGTCAAGACAAGAACCAACACAGAAAAGCCTAAACTGGACCAGACTCTCACTGATCAATGCTGCTCTAATGGAAAGTGATGTTTTTATTGCCAAAGGCTGCAGATAATCCAGTTCAGTACAATATTTAGACCAAAGTCATCTATATTATGAAACAACTTTGGAAGATGTTTTTTTTTTTAAACACCATAATGTAGGACAAACAAAATGACAATGCCTGATTTCAGTTTTTAAGCCCTTACTGGTCAGAGGCCAACAACATCTTATCACTTAGGTTATGATATCTAGCTATCATGGATGTTCTAGAGAATAAGTCTAAGAATTAAAAGTCTTAATTATCAGCTTCATTTAACAGTTTGATTAATGCTACCTTAGTCTGGTCTTGTGTCTTTCAACGACTCCACTAGGCCATTTAAAGTTTGCTGGATGAGCCAGATCTGAGTGACATATGTCAGAGATTTGGAAATGCCAGGAAGGTACGAAGTCCTTCTTCGATAGCTGGGTTGTAGTATTGGTCTGGTTGGATTTAAAAGGTCCCAGCTGCTATGAAATCCAATCAGCTGCTTCATCGGCTCTTCAGTTGGATTGGTGCAGCATCTGCCAAAGAAAGACTGGACAGAGGAAGCGTCTCAGGTCCAATCTAACTTAACCTTCAGCCCTAATCTGGGATTTCTTCTTCGTCTCTCTGGGTTAATCGCTCCACTTGAAATGACATTTGGTCTGGCTCATCTTTCTGGCTCCCCTGAGGTTGAGTTGGAGTTAGAGGAGGTTATGGCATGATTAAACTAACACTGATAAACTTTTTCTATACTATAAAACAGTTGCAAAGGTTTTTTGAGCTGTGGCAAAGAACTGTACAGTGGAGCAGTTCCTGGCCTTTTGCTTCAATAAGGCTCTCTCTTCATGTTCACATTTTCTAAAGCAATGCAATACGAATAAAAAAAATATTGAAACATGGCTACTGGGGTGACTACTATTGACTGCACACATGCAGACATGACATGGCAGGCGGGTTTTTCAGTCTGCCTCTCTCATGGCAGAGCACAAAGGGACGGTGGCTGAGGTAAATATGATTAATGCAAGTAACAGTCGATCGTCAGTCTCCCAAAGACTTCCTAAAGATTCATTGCTGCAGCCACTTAATACATGGAAATTACCGGCAATACTAACAATAAATCACAAGCCTTTCAAGGCAGTCAGTTGAACAATTTGTGCCATTTATTACAATTTCAAAAAATAACTGGTAGAGAACCACAAACATTACGGTGTGTTAGAAGCAGATTGGTTGGAAACGAGAAGCTGTTCAGAGCATCAGAATAAAAAAGGAAAACAAACAAAAGAAATGCAAAGATTACACCAAACAGTTGAAGTGGTATTAAATGAAAGCCAGAGATCAATTGACAGGCTTGGTGCAGATTTAATCAGCCAGTTGTAGAAGTAGGCCAGGAGGGATTTTTATACTCAATTTAACCCAAGCAGAACCAGCAAGAGGAATTGAGTTCTGCCCCAATTCACTGAGCGTGTTACAGAGCTGGGTCATCTCAACACTGTCAAAATGATCACGTTTCAACTTCACTGGGTTCGGTTACAGACTGCAGCACAGAAAGACTGCAACCCTGAGGAGCTGCAGGTAGCATATTTGTTGCAACCAACAGTAATGAAACAATGGAGGAAGCTGTGAAGATGCAATACTCTGGTACATAAACACTGGAGAAGTCTTCATCACTTCAATACGACGTTTCCAAGATGTTCTGAGTCTCGTCTGTTTCATCACCTCTGGTTCAAAATCCAAAAGGCCTACCTTGATAATTTAGTCATTACAAAAACAATGAAGTTTCCATCACAATACTAGTGGCCTGAAATAAGGGTGGGAATATGAAATAAAGATTTTATCACAATATTTTATTATGATTAAAAAATGCAAAATGCATTTCAAGCTTCTTTCAAGCAACTGTCACTCCAGCCGAAGCCCCTCAAACACAAATACTGCTCTTAAAGAAACAAACCCACTTTAAAAACAGGCTTCTTCTGGACACCAGGGAGTAACAGAAAAATTGTGATTCTTATCACTGAGGTGCCAACAGTAACAACATATTGTAATATTTTTCATTCTACTGATGCTCTCATGGAACAAGCAGTAGAGAAAACAGTAAAAATAACAATCCTGACAGCACAACCAGTTTTGAGTGCGAGAGCTTAAAACAAGCAGGCCACAACGATTTATGGTGTATCGCTGTCACAATAAATCAAAAATGATTACAATAACAGGTAATTGTCCACCATAACACCAAATAATATGATAAATGCAAGTCCCTGGAAGAAAACTGTGAATTGCCAGCTAGTTATGAAAATGTAGTAACAGAATAATCAATCCTGAGCAGGATAATTCCATAGAATTATGAATGTAGTTCAGAATGCAGTTTGGCATTAATATACCTTTATTCTGATTGTGAAAATATAACACTAACATTTTAAATGCTTTTTTTTAAACAAAACATAAAACAATGGGGAGGGTTTGTAGTTTTCACAGAAATATCTCTAAAGTTTGAGCTTATTTCTGCATATTGTCCTTGTGTCCCTCCAACCCGTCCTCTGCATCACTCAGAAGGCTTCAGGAAAGACGCACGTTATGGTTAATCAGTTTCTTATTCATGGTGATGATTGCCTCCTGAAGCAGGAGACACCTGGACAGACAGATGGAAGGCCTGCATGCCTAATAAGGCTGCATTTTAAAAGAGTTCTGGGATCGACCCGGATCACCAGAAACACCATCGAGGGGTCACAACTGAGCAACTAACAGGACCTGATGGGACTGGACATGTTAAGAAGTGATTTGTGAGCTAGCTGCGGGACGAACACGCCTATGTGTGTGCGTGCGTGCGTGTATGTATTTGTGCTTAATGCTGCCAGGACGCCACGCCTTACTTGTGTCAGCCAGCCCGGCCTCTGTCAGCCGGCTGCATCTCCCCGGCGAACCTGCGCCTCCACGCCGGGAGGGAGCCCATCCGTAGGCCCCGCGGCGCCAAATACAGCCTCACCCCCATACATACATCCACACACACATATCTAATGAACAACAGTGTTCTAAGGCAGCAATCAGGCCTTTGCGTCCACATCTGAAGCCGCAACTGAGACACATTAAATCAGCTGAGGTGAATGGCAGCCTTTTCTCCGTCCCCCTCCCGTCCTTCCCCTGCATTCACATGCAGCCGCCCCGAGGCATTAATTGGCTTTTATTGCGGAGGATGCTAATTAAGATGATCCTCTATGTGTTCGCAGCACAATGCAGCTCTGCAGCTGGAGTTTGTTCCACGGGAAGGAGAAGCAGGAGCAGAGAAAGCCTACGAATCCCGGCCGATGTGCTGGGATATTTAGGTGAGGGGCATCGGAGCTACTTACTAAGCGGATCCAGATCCCAAGGAGATTCCTGTGAGGAAAAGGCGCAGCCAGCCGCGGGGAAACGCAGTAGAAGTTTCCGCAGGGTTTTGGTCGGGTTTTTCTGCCGGGGATTGGAGCCGGTTTGCTCACCGACTACCCTTTTTCCCAGATAGATCCCAGATTGTGCTGATTCCCCACTATGTCTGCTGCCAGGCACACTGGATCTCTGCGATGCTACAAGCTGAACAAAGGCAAGCAGACAGCTTCCGCTTTAGACCACCAAAATAAAGGCGGGACCCTGGCGCAAAAAATAAATAAATAAATAAAATAAAGTAAATAAATCTTATGATGACTTTGTTTTAGTGCTGCAACGTACCGACCGAAACATTTAGAAAAATACCAACCAAATTTATTCAGCGGGGAAAACTTCACTTGTTTAATTTCCATGTTCATGATGCCTGTGAGACCCACAGCATCATCGATCGTCTACTGTATTCATACTCAACACTTTGCCAAACCTACGAGTGAATTAGGGCCATTGTAGATATAAAAAAGAGTAAAATTACGCTTATTCTAGAAAAAAAATATTCTTTTTTCAGAAATGAGTTTCAAATGTCAAAGATTTTGCACTTTTGGAAATTTTGTATTTATAGAGTGGAAAATATACAAACTCAGAAATTACCTTTTTTTTGTCAGATTTTCTTGTAGATTTTTGGCAGAAATGTTCTTCTCTCTATTGTCCATCTACAATGGACCTAATCCCCCTGGACTGTTTGCTGTCAAAATTCTCAATGTGATTCTCATTCCATCAGATTAAACTCCCAGCAGAGGTAATCAAGTTATAGTGCATTCAGTATGTCTGTGTCACAAGACATGAAGAGAAAAACCCAATCATCTTCTACTACATTTAGCTCACAAAGTTATTGTTCTTTTTTTAACTCCCTCAAAATCCTGTTTACGATGTGTGTGTGTGTGTGCGTGCGTGCGTGCGTGCGTGCGTGCGTGCGTGCGTGTGTGTGTGTGTGTGTGTGTGTGTGTGTGTGTGTGTGTGTGTGTGTGTGTGTGTGTGTGTGTGTGTGTGTGTTGAAGCCATTTGAATACAGATCCTAATCCAGTTGAGTGGTCAGGGTCACATCATATATTCACACCAGAAAGACAGGAAGTCATGAGGAATTATTAGAAATGTCAGCTTTAGAAAAGTGTAAATAAAATAAAATTACAGAAATTCAGTTGGAATTGCAAGGAAATTGCATTGGGTGTTTTTAAAGTGGCTCTAGTTCTGAAAATCACTTCTCTGAGTGCAAAAACAAACCAGCAAAATAAAATGTATATTTTTCAATAGGGTAAAACTTTGTGAGTTCTGAAGTGTTTCGTTACTCCATCTCTCTCTCCATCTATCTCTCTTTCTTTCTGTTTTTGATATTTTATAGTGAAACTGAAGATGTTTAACTTCCTCAGTTCTGGACTCTCACTTTACACGTTTTATTTCCATTCCGGATCCCAAAAAACTGCCTCGTTTCCCGTCCTGCCCAACCCAGGGTCTCAACCAATCAGCTCCGATTGGCTCACTTGTTCTATTCTATTCTATTCTATTTATTCTATTCTATTCTATTCTATTCTATTCTATTCTATTCTATTTATTCTATTCATAGTGTGTAAGATACGAGGTGAAGTCAGCATCTGATCCCTTTTCAAATCTATATTACATTTAAGCCTGCCCTCTCGTGGCTGGTAAAAGCATTACACCTGGTTGTGTTCAAACTGCTGCTGCTGCAGTTACTAGTTAGTGGATTCAATTATTAGGCCCGAGCAGCTAAGCGCTGCGAAGGCCTATTGTATCTGTACTGTTTATTATTATTATTATTATTATTATTATTATTATTATTATTATTATTTTTCTTCCCACCTCTTTGGGGGGCTTTTTGGGGGCCTTATCATATTGGAAAACTCACCAAACTTGGCGGAGGCCTTAAGCCTGTTTAAAAATTTTGATTTTTAAGGTCATCACAAAAATCCCACAAGAAATGGCTCAATAGCGCCACCTAGAAATTTTCAAAGGACCCTTTGCTATTCACTTACTTTATCCTAGAGACATGAAATTTGGTACACTTGTAGAGCTCCCAGGACGCTCAAAATTTACAATTAATGTCATAGTGCAAGTATCACAGGAAGTCGGCCATTTGGATTGAAGGTCCAATTTTGAGGCCATTTTTGCCGTTTACAGCCTCCGTATTTGATCGAACTCCTCCTAGGGATTTCGATTGATCGGCTTCAAACTCGGTCAGTCTGTTCATAAGGCATGTCCCATCTAAAGTTATCAAAACTGTGAGTTTTTGAGTATGCTGAAGGGGGGTTAGCAGGGGTCAAAGTTCACCTACTCGCCATAAAAACATAAACTGCTATATCTCCTACACAGAAACTCACAGAGGAACCAGAGTTACTGTGATTAATCATCATTGGCTGCCCTACAATACCCTATGGTCGAATGATGACATCACTTAGACCACGCCCCCTGAGAACAGGAAGTGTCATGTTTTACTGAGAACGGTCGCTATCTGACCCCTTTGACCTCATCAACATGAAACTGTGCCCAGACACAGAGAACATGTTGGTGTGTTGAGGATTCCAACCCCGACCAGCTTCGATAGAGCAGGTGGGCATGGGGGCGTGGCGAAGTGACCTGTAACGCCATCGCCATACGTTTGGCTCTCAATTCCACAGTTTTGTGCCCAGCTGCTCCAAACTCACAAGGATGGTCCCTCATCAACTCCCCTACAGGAATCCATCACAATATTTGGTGGGCGTGGCCTAATTTCTCTATAGCGCCCCTAGAAAATTTTAAATGATCAGCCCCAAGCCATGCTTTGACCTACAATTACGAAACTTTGTACACATTTGTATCATGTCAGGACTTAAAAGAAAGTCTCTTGGAGCCATGGTCTAAACCCCACAGGAAGTCGGCCATTTTGGATTGAAGTTCAGATTTTGACCCCATTTTTGCCGTTTACAGCCTTCCTATTTGATCGAACTCCTCCTAGAGATTTCGATTGATCGGCTTCAAAACTCGGTCAGTCTGCTCATAAGGCATGTCCCATCTAAAGTTATCAAAACGGTGAGTTTTTGAGAATGCTGAAGGGGTTAGCAGGGGTCAAAGTTCACCTACTCGCCGTAAAAAAAACTGCTATATCTCCTACACAGAAACTCACAGAGGCACCAAAGTTTCTGGAATTGATCATCATCGGGTGTCCTACAATACCCTATGGTGGAATGATGACATCACTTAGGCCACGCCCCCTGAGAAAAGGAAGTGTCATGTTTTACTCTGAACGGTCGCTATCTGACCCCTTTGACCTCATCAACATGAAACTGTGCACAGACACAGAAGACATGTTGGTGTGTTGAGGATTCCAACCCCGACCAGCTTCGATTGAGCAGCTGGGCGTGGCGGCGTGGCGAAGTGACCTGTAACGCCATCGCCATACGTTTGGCTCTCAATTCCACATTTTGGCCACAGCTGCTCCAAACTCACAAGGATGGATCTTCATCCACTCCCCGACAGGAATCCATCACAATATTTGTAGGGTGTGGCCTAATTTATCTATAGCGCCCCTAGAAAATTTTAAAAGATCAGCCCCAAGCCATGCTTTAACCTACAATTACGAAACTTTGTACACGTGTGTACCATGTCAGGACTTACAAAAAAGTCTCTTGGAGCCATGGTCTAAACCCCAGAGGAAGTCGGCCATTTTAGATTGAAGTTCAGATTTTGATCCCATTTTTGGCGTTTATAAACCATTTCAGTAATTCGCCACTTGGGGTCAGTATTGCTCCACAAATGAAACAGCAGTTAAACAGGATGAAGAACAATATCAGTATTTCGCCAGTAGGTGTCAGTGTTCCTCCACCAATGACAAACAGATCCACGGGCGGATGGGCGTGAAAACTTTGTGAGAGCGTTGCCATGACATTTCTAAAAGGATAGAAATGTCTCAGATAATTTTTTGTTGAATTAAATCATGCAGTAAATGTAGCGTTTTCTTACTTCTTACAAACCATTTCAGTAATTCGCCACTCTGAGTAAGTATTACTCCAACAATGAAATAGAGTGCTTTAGAAACACAGCTGAAAATGATGAAAAATGACGAACAGTAGTACTTCGCCATGTGCATATGATCGGCTGTAAATGACACGTGGATCATCCGACTGACGACAAATTGGATACGTATGACCTTTGTTGACCTCTAAAGAGAACAACAGCATTGAAATATATTTTGACTCCACTGCGCGTCCTACATTAATCCGCCAGCTATATTTCCTCGCTAAACCAATGAATCTGCACCACATTTTTTGCATCGTCAAGGAGCGCCTCCGAACGCATCAGTGCGTACCGCCTGGTGGACGGGCGGAAACTGCGCAACAACTTCTGTGTTAGCAGGTGGCCAGCGTTGATGGAAACTGAGCAACAGCTTCCGCGATGCGGGCGGAAGAGCTGAAAACTGCGTGAGAGCTTCTGTGGTGGCTGGCGTGAGGCGCCGGTTGCTAGTACCCCGCGGTGGCAATAGGCCGGAGCGGCGCTTGGCTGCGAGGGCCGTTCGAGGCTGCTTGCAGCTTTAATTTTTCTTATTTTTTCAGAATATTTTAGAGGAGTCTGCAGCAGTTGCAGACCTTGTGGTAAACTAATCAAGTACTCACAGTGTCCTTACACATTTTTACATTACGTCACAGTTCACACACTTCCCTGTATTTTGATGGGATTTTATATGATAGAAAAAAAAGAGTGAAAAATAGATTTTTATGTTTTTCTTTATCAGGTTTAGTCAGATTGTTTGGAACAGATATGTTACAATTAAGTCACAGATTCCCAATTAAATTTAGATATGACTTCACCATTCTAACACATGGATCTGCTTTAATCTATGAAGTTAAGTATTAATTAATTAATTAAGTAAGTATTAAGTATCATGCAGTCTATCCAAGAGTAAATCCGATATCTGCAACATCAAAAACATCAACACAAATCTTTTACTGGTAAACCTCCAGCATCTTTCCACATAGTGTTCATCTCCAGATGAAGCTGTGTATTACTGCAGGACCAGCAGCTCCTGTCAACACCAGAGCAGTCACCTTCAGCCACTCATCTCCCTGTTCACCAATTTGCTTGACCAGATGAAGGCAATCTGGTGGTATTTTAAAAAAGTTATAATCAAATCACTCCTCAAATAA